TGAAGACGAAGAAGAGAATGACATGTTCTCCCGGCGCCTATTTATACTATAGTCACACCGGTAGTGACGTCGCTGGCTGTCGCCGGCCAACGTGTTGTTGGTGTTTTTTCAATGTATGCTTCAGACTCGGGTCACGACGAGGCGTTCCCCATAGCGACCTCTAGAGGACGCAGTTCGAAGTTCCCTTGAAAGGGAACTGTAAAGTTTGGTGTTTGTATGTGCTGCTGAAGCGGAGAAAAACTCACAGCCTTTAACAATATGTATTGTAACTGAAATCTACAGACACAAATACATAAAGTGTTATAAAACAAACATTCAGATGTTTATTTTGGATGTTTTCTTTCCACTAGTCTGAAAAAGACATGTTATGGAATCAAAACAGCCCAAAATCCCAACATTGACCAATGCATGAAAAAGCAATGGTTTTGCGAGAATAACTGAGAGAAAAACTACTGCATGTATCTTTATGGATTACATAAAAGCACCACTTATCCACTGCTATCACTTTAAGAACTTGATTTTAAGTTCCTCAAAGTTATTAGCCTGAAACATATTTTAAAGCTCGTGTCTACAAATGTGATTCTAGCTATGCTAAAATGTCAGCTGCGGCTGGATTTTTATGGCTTTTTCTTTGAACGATTACAGGGAGTTAAGAGATTTATTTTTATTTTAGAAGCATGCTCAAAATATGACCTTGAATAAATGTCAGTCAGACACAGCTACAGCTCTGCTCCAAAACCTAGTCAGTTGTCTATCTAGACAGCACTTTAAGATCCTGATGTGAAGCTAGGCAGCGACATTATGCTAATGCATTTTAATGATTACAGCTGATCTCAATAGAGTTTGATGTTAGCATATGCTCAGTAATCAAATAAGAACTAAAATGACATTGCACACACAGGTATTTTGTGAAACATGATATATGTTGATGTGAAAACTGACACTGAGGTGTAGATGTGTGAGTCTGACGCATGCGCTGATAAACGTACCCATCTTTTCCATTGACGCCTCGGTGGAGAGGAAGCCCTGCATCAGGAGCTGGTCTCTGGTCTCCTCATCATCAACCTGGATCTCTGAGACCATATTACACGGCACATAGCCACAACGACTACCCACCTCGCCTCGGTAGAAACCATCTGCATCTTTATCCCCATAAACCTGCGGAGCAGAAACACTGCAATCAACCTTACTTTGTTTTAGATGCTTTATGAACAGCAAAATGGTATTTTCGGTGAGGTTTTGCAGGTTGCACTACAGATGCACATTTTGTAGGCTAATGTGGGTGAGAATTGACAGTTTATAAGCATTTCTTTCTTTGTAGTTTTAACCCTATAAAGCCTACTTCTTCAAATAATCAGCATGATCACAACTTCGCTGTTAAACCTGTCACACTCAATCTACTGCATGCCTTCTGTCGTCTCATTGATGGTTCAGAGTTTTTTTTAGCAAGTAAAAGCACTTTTAATCTAATTGCACAATCTTCCACCATCAGCTTGCGCTTCATGCGTCTTTTTGCTGTCAAATCTTTACTGATTTTTTTATCAAGTAAATGTAAGAATAACTTTGATATTGTTAATAATATTTCATAGATGAACACTTAATGGACTGTAGCTTTATTTGATTGTCCAGACATCATTTTTCAGAAAAATCATGTTCAAATGTAAGTATCGAATATAATCATTAGGCTTTTGAGGAACGTTTATTTGTTCATCTCTCAATCATCATTGTATTGCATTGCATTATGATTTGACCATCAAACTAAGCATTTCAATCTCATCTTACTAAAACATATTATTGGCAGATATAGACTGACGACTGACATTTATATCATTTTATGTAAGTATCTGCTGTACTGTTATAAAGAGCTCATTTATTTACATTACAAGCAACAGAATTTCATCACTTTTTGGTCATATAAATATCAGCATCTGCACCAAATTGCATATTTCTGCTTAGTTTGGGCCTCTGAATAAAACTGAGCTATTTATCCTCCATATTCTCATTATTTCATACTATATGGGCCATAAAAGTCTGATGATACAAAACATAAAACATACATTCAATTAAAAAATTTTTTTTAAGTTTTTGTTTTTGTCGAAAGGTTCAACATAAACTGTTCCATTTCTATTATTGACTATTATTTCACATGACACGCTTTATAAGGTTAAAGACAAATGCATGCGTAAAAATCACAAACCCAGTCATACCTTGATAATCTGGCCCTCTTTAAAGGGAAGCTCCTCTTCAGCAGCGTCAGGATTGGGTGACATGACTGCAGGATCATATGGGAAGAGGGCAACAAAGACTCTCACCTCATTTTCTTCAGGTGCTCTGGGCTCTGCAACATCAAGGAGTAAACACAAACTTGTCAAGAAATTATTTCACAGGACATGTCATGTGACTAACACCTCTAGTATTTATGCAGCAACACACTGGTGGTTGATCTGGACATGTCATGCCTGTATCACATTTTGGGATTTGTGCAAAGATTTGTTACATTTTTATGCTACTTTCCATGATGCTTGTGAAACATTACAGTCAGTAACCTAATGCTCGTTGTCTCCCCTGCCTGAAAACCATAATGGTGTGGCCCAGGCGTGTCCTTAAAGGCAGGGTATGTGATTTTTCAAAAACACTTTAGAAAACTAAATCGGGCCGAATAGCAAAGCAAACTTGTAGCCAATCAGCAATAAGGGGCGTGTCTACTCGTGATGTGGAGGAGAGAGCTTTCAGTGCATGGGACAGACATTAGCCGAGCGACAGAGAGATAGAGATGGTGGATAAAAAACAAAAGAGGAAAACGTCTGCGGAAGGATAAGGCAAGAAGTAGGACCCGTGTAAATATCGGATCAGCTTTCCAGCGCTGGAGAGAACTCAAGGAGCGGAGGCCTGCGATCGGACGTCGAGGTTGCTTTGTTTCTTCTCAATAGGTGAGTAACACTGTGTCTACAACAGCTAAAGTCTGCCTACACTGGACGCGATCAAACGACCGTTGAAAACCATTTGAAATTTGTGTCAGCACGTCATAAATAAAACCCGGCAGCAGTTTCCTTGCCGCGCCGCTCACGTCCGTAGACATGGTGTAACATTGGTTTTGCTTTGTTTCACAGAACTAATCGTTGCCTGAGTTGCGTACGTATATGTGGGGCGGAGCTATCAAAATAGGGGCAAGACCCTTTTGGGGTAGGGGCGTGTTTGTTTTGGTGATTTCAAATATCAACATTGGCTACCAGAAATCGCTTACTCTGCCTTTAAGTGAGGTAATCATACTAAAACCTCCTGATCCTAAGCCGCCATGAGCCGCTACAGAAACGTGTGCACATGAGTCATCCGTACTGAGCGAGAATGACAGGAAGAGAGAAAGACACACAAATGTCTATTCATATATAAACAAACTGATTTTAAACAATGCTGTCATGGTAGAGATTAAAACAGCATCCAGTATAATAAAAAAAACACCAAACAAGGATTACATTTAAAAGCAAACCAGTTCTGCTTGTCAATGCTGATTGGTCAAGCTAATGCTGTCACAACTAAAAATTACAATTTAGCCACCATCTCTTAAATCTTATTGGTTAAATGTATGAAAACAATATTGATGAGCAGCTCAGATTCAACTGTGCTGATCAACTGATTACTGAATGATATGAATTGATTCAGACTATGTAGACAAAAGAAAATTACTGTAAGTCAGGAGTAGATAAAAGTGTCTACTTAATGAATAAATGCAACTGCAAAGATAGAAGTAAATGTAAAGCAGAACACAAAAGCCCCAAAACGCCACTGTATTTTTCCAGTACTCTTTACTGGACATGCATGCAAGATTAAACTGCTGTTCAAGTCACCTTTATTTATATAGCGCTTTTAACAATACAGATTGTGTCAAAGCAACTGAACAGCATTAATTAGGAAAATAGTGTGTCAATAATGCAAAATGACAATAGTAAACACTAATTTTCCAGTTAAAGACAGTTCATCATTGAATTCAGTGATGTCTTCATTCAGCTCAGTTCAGTTTAAATAGTATCTTTGCAATCATTTGCAATCAAGTCAACAATATCGCTGGAAATGAAGTTTCCCCACAAACTTCATTTCCAGCTTTGAACATTGCTGGAACATTGTTCTGTACAATGGAGTCTGACAGCAGGACTCAAGCATCTGTCAGGGTCATCGGGTCAAAGGTCAGCACCCTGAAGTCATCAGGATCAATTTCCTGTTTCTAGATGAGTTGGGTGAGGAATATAGTGTAAAACAGGGACGTATAATCAGTGGTGCTAATAGGTGTCGGTCGTGTTTGTGTTAAGCTCCAGCACTGAGATGTGCTCATCTCATTAGTGAGGATCAAGACCATCTGTAGCAACAATCAAGGGCAGAGCAAAGAAAACAGGACACTTCACAACCTCTGTGTGTCATATTTGAGAGCAAATATGAAGAAAAAGGAGCTACCTTTGGGAAAACCACCTTTTGGGGATGTCCTCAAAGGAAAAACATATTCAAAAATATACTAAATTAATATTTTTTTAATCGTAAGAGTGCAATGGTGGACTAGGCAACAAAGTTTGGATTTTCTGGCATGTGGTCAGATGTTGTCCACTTCCAAATTTATATGATATCACGGTTACTTTATATTACATTTAGTATCCATAAATGCAAATTTATGGGTTTTCAATTAAATAAATTATATGTTTGATCACTTAGAAAAATAACAGCACTCCTCAACAAGCCAGTTATGAATATATTACATGCCAAACTTTAAAGGGATAGTTCACCCATAAATGAAAATTACCCCATGATTTACTCACCCTCAAGCCATCCTAGGTGTATATGACTTTCTTCTTTCAGACGAATCCAATCGGAGTTATATAAAAAAATATCCAGGCTCTTCATTATGGTTTATAAAGTTTTAAATATGGATATTTTTCTTATAAAAACGCATCGATTTGCTTCAGGAGGCCTTATTCACCCCCCAGAGCCGTGTGAGGCACTTTTTATTATGGATGGATGCGCTTTATTGGACTTCATTCGGACGGTGTTTCTTGTCAATAGTCCAAAAGAAGTCCAATAAAGCGCATCCATCCATTATAAAAAGTGTCCCACACAGCTCCGGGGTGTGAATAAAGGCCTCCTGAAGCGAATCGATGCATTTTTGTTAGAAAAATATCCATATTTAGAAGTTTATAAACCGTAATCTGTAATCTCTAGCTTCCACTAACTGTCGTACGCGAGTTCATTCCGCCGGATGACATAGGACATAGTCGTAGCATAAGGTCCGGTGAGAATATGCTAGTCTTGCGAGAACCGATGTTTGTTTACAGGAGCAAAGGAAGCAAAGTTTCCTCTGTTTAGCAAAGGTAAACCAGTCTCCTCTTGGCTTATCTCGAAATCCTCTGACATTTTTCTTTACAAATCCTCGTTTTTGTGCTTCTAATTCTCACCGGACCTTACGCTTCGTCCTAAGTGATCCGCCGGAATGAATGCGCCTACGACAGTTAGCGGAAGCTAGAGATTATGGTTTATAAAGTTTTAAATATGGATATTTTTCTTATAAAAACGCATCGATTTGCTTCAGGAGGCCTTATTCACCCCCCAGAGCCGTGTGAGGCACTTTTTATTATGGATGGATGCGCTTTATTGGACTTCATTCGGACTATTGACAAAAAAACACCCATTCACTGCCATTATAAAGCTTGGAAGAGCCAGGACATTTTTTTTATATAACTCCGATTGGATTCATCTGAAAGAAGGAAGTCATATACACCTAGGATGGCTTGAGGGTGAAAAAATTTTCATTTTTGGGTGAACTATCCCTTTAATACTTTGTGTTAAGAGGTTTGATCAAATCACTAACCCTAAGAATGAGCAATAAAAGAGTGAAACAGCCTCATAAAACACTACTAATTAGTTTTATTTAAGCACAACAGAAGTCTCAATTTAGACTAGGCTAGATACATGTGTTGGTTTAGCTAAAACTAAGTTTGAAGAAGAACGGTTAAGATCAGTTTAAAGATGGGTGGGTTTGCAAGACTCTGAAATGGATAAATGAGAGAGAGAGAAAAGGATGCGATCTAAATGGAAGCCGAATGCAGTTCACAGTGAGAGAGAAAGAGGGAAGTAAGAGGTTCTTACCTCTATGCAGTCTAATTTCAGAGCGTGACGATTTTGGAGTGACATCGCACCACATTGCACCCGGATCTGCCAACGATGCTTCTCTTCCACCTGCCTCCTGGTTTGAGAGAAACAAACAGTTAGATAATGACACCAGTGGGATACAGCCACTAACTAATATCACAGTAACACTTCAGATTAGTGAACACATATTCACTTTTCCCTCGATAAACTTCTAATTTGCTGCTTACTGATAGCAAGCAAGGTAGTTGTTTGTAGTAGTTATGTTTAGGTATATGGCAGGGTTGAGGGATCTAGAATATTGTCATGCAAAATAAGGTATTAATATGTTCTTTATAAGTACTAATAAACAGCCAATATGCTAGTAAAATGCATGCTAATAAGCAACTAGTTAATAGTGAATAGTGTTCCCTAATCTAATGTGTTACCAACATCGCAGTGGAACAACTGAAACATCACACAATCTGCATGTAATACCACATATGAACACTAGGGGCCCCAGACTAGAACAATCCCTTAGGACAGTGGTTCCCAACCTTTTTCAACTCGCGGCCCACACAACCAAACACATATGTTTCCGCGGCCCACTGCAAAAAAATTAACTGACTTGGGTTCAGTTAACCCAACACCTTTTCAGTGTCAGGCTTACTTGTAGATGGAGAAACATCTGCATTTGTTATTTTCAGCGACCCTGTTGACAGCCATTTATCCATGTTTGAATCTGTTGTTCTGTAGCATATGCAGCAAAAATATTTTAGAATTGGCGGTTTATTCTTAAACCAATCAGCGAGCTCGAATAGTGGAAGCAAAGTAACAAACAGTTTAATATTTATTTTTTATTTAATTATATATATATGAAATTAAGATATTATGTTATGACTTTTTTACATACATTTTTACATATATTAACAATATTATTATTTCTTTTAATAGTAATTGGCGGCCCCCCTGCAATACAGTCGCGGCCCACAGGTTGAAAACCACTGCCTTAGGAGCCACTTGCTTCTAATAAAACATTTTGTAATTTAGCATTTGGAACATTTGCAGTACACAGTGTTCCTGTGTGCAGCTTACTTTGCTCAGCTTGCTACCTGTTAACCAAAAGGCCTGAAACTGTCTACACAACTATATGAAAGAGCTTTTAGCTATGTACAACGGACTGCAATTGCATTGGCCAAACGTTTGTTTCTGTGCTTGTGCACCTTCCTAGAGTTTAAAGAAGCCACATATCAACACAATATGAAGTTCTGGCTTCTTAGGCTAATTGCAAATAGATTTGAAATCACTGTTGCAATTTTTTTTACTGAATTAGCAATTAGCCTGGAGCCCTGAAACATACACACAAGTCAGAAAAGCCATTGCTCAAGCGACATTTGATTCCAGATCAACAGAAGCAGCACTTGGGGTTGTTCTTCGTAGCAACACAGTGGAATTATGGGAACAAACAGGAGATCCCTGTGCAAGCACAACATACAGTTTCATACAGTCCAGTCTCTACTTTAACTGCTCAATCAGTCTCTGGACAACCTTGAACAATATGTGGCTTAAGAAGCATCCCATTTGTATCAAGCAAAAGAGATGCACTAGAGCAAGTAAACCTATTGAGCGATAATGCACAGCCACAGTCTTAGTACAGCAATGTTCTAACTGAACACTGGGAAAAATAAGACGTAGGACAAATGCATAGAGCAGTGCTGCCAGCTACAAGTATGAAGATGCCTTGACTAGAGACTTGACTAGGTAAAAGGGTGTAGGGTACACAAGCAACTGCAAGGAGCGTGAAGTACAGGCTTAAACCTTTTGCATCCACAGTGAAATTAGTGTTGGAGAGTCATTGTATACTTGTTGTAATCCCATATGCCACAGTAGCTGTCAGTATGTGATAAATGAATGCATTTGAAATGTTAGCTCCATGAAGAGTTGGGAATAAATAACATTCAGAACTGACGTTTTGTTTTTGTCTTTCAGTTCCATTAAAGGGATAGTTCACCCAAAAATTAAAATTCTGTCATTAATTACTCACCCTCATGTCGTTCCAAACCCATAAGACCTTTTTCGTTCATTTTCGGAACATAAATTAAGATAACATAAATTTTTTGATGAAATCCGAGAGCTTTCTGACCCTCCATACACAGCAAGGTAACTACCACGTTCAAGGCCCAGAAATGTGCCAAGAACATCGACAAAATGGTCCTTGTGACATCAGTGGTTCAACCGTAACTTTATGAAAAGAAAAAAAAAAAGAAAAGAAAAGTGAAAAGAAAAGTGACGTGACGTGGCCAAGTATGGTTACCCATACTAGGAATTAGTGCTCTGCATTTAACCCATCCTAAGTGCACACACACAGCAGTGAACACACACACAGTGAACACACACCCGGAGCAGTGGGCAGCCATTTATGCTACGGCGCCCGGGGAGCAGTTGGGGGTTCGGTGCCTTGCTCAAGGGCACCTCAGTCGTGGTATTGAAGGTGGAAGAGAGCGCTGTACATTCACTCCCCCCACCTCCAATTCCTGCCGGACCTGAGACTCTCTAACCATTGGGCCACGACTTCCCCCTTTATGAAGCTATGATAATATTTAAAAACAAAAACATGACCCATGCGCGTGCTTTCCCCTGCTCGTAAACAAGGTGCAGCGCATGTGGGTTCTACGTCAACAGCATCACACGCATGCGTCATGTTACTCTCGATAATGGCAGTAGATGGTAACTCGGGAGAGAAGAATTTATTAATAAAGTCGTTATTTTTGTTTTCTTTGCACACAAAATGTATTCTTGTAGCTTTGTAAAATTACGGTTGAACAACTGATGTCACATGGACCATTTTAATGATGTTCTTACTGCGTTTCTGTGCCTTGAACGTGGTAGTACCCTTGCTGTCTATGGACGGTCAGAGAGCTCTCAGATTTCATCAAAATTATCTTAAGGCGAGACATTGCAGGTGAATAGGGTAAAAAAATTTAATAATAATTATCACCTTACTTACCCAGTTGATTGATTACATTGATAATTGCAAACATTTTTTGTATTACAAGTTTTCTAAAATGTTATTTTTAAATATGCAAATGAGGCATTATTTAATGAAATATGCGCTAATTTGCATACATTTCTAGTACAAAAATCTGAACACTGGATGAAGTCAGTTTCAAAATTCTTGTTTATTTTTTTTTGACATATTAGAGGCAAATGTTTTTACAGCGGGAATTTTGGGTATCTCTTTTTGTCACTCCATAATTCATAAAAAACTTTGAACAGCCAGAAAACAATATATTTTCACAATTTTTGGGGGAATAAAATGTTGTATATAATCAAGCAAATTATATATGAACAAATCCCTCTGTAAAAACCGTCAGAATACAGACAGGAATACAAATTTAAAGTTTGGTGTGTGTAAGTGCTACTGAAGTGGAGATTTATGGCTCAGTGTAGAAGAAAAAACTAATTTTGAGAAAACGGCCTTTAAAATATGTATTGTAACTGAAATCTATTGACACAAATAAATAAAGTGCTATAAAAGAATCACTTAACAGTGTCTTTTGGATGTTTTCTTTCCACTAGCCTGAAAAAACACTTTATGAAAAGCCAAAAAGCCCAAAATCTCAAAATTGACAGGTGCATGAAAAAGCAGTGCTTTTGCTTGCAGTGTCTCCCCTTAATTTGTGTTCCGAAGATGAACGAAGATCTTAGAGGTTTGGAATGACATGAGGGTGAGTAATTAATGACAGAATTTTCATTTTTGGGTGAACTATCCCTTTAACAGGTTTGGAACATCTGCATTCTTCCTGAACAACTTAACATGAAATATACATATCAGAGGTGCTAGAATGTGCGGCAATGCCATAATATTGTCCATTCTAAAAGGATTAATCAATGAAAATGTTAAGTAGCACTGGAACCACAGTTGCTCAGTTCCTTTAGATTGCTATCGCTAACTCCAGCAATAACTCCAACTCTGGCCCTTGAGGTCCACTTTCCTGCAGATTTGAGCTCTAACCTTAATCAAACACACTTGAACCAGCTAATCAAGGTCTTCAGGATTACAGGCAAGTGAGTTTGTTCAAAGTTGGAGCTAAACTCTGCAGGAAAGTGGACCTTGAGGGCCAGAGTTGAGAACCCCAGCTCTAAGCCTTCCAACTAAGATACTACAAGTTACAGTGAACTGATCAGAATAGTGATGGATGTGGGTGCAAACTTGCACTTATCTTCTCTTTCAGGACGCAAAAGGTTTTAGCCATCTCCTAAAGGGATGGGCAGGCTCTCAAAAGGAGCATCTCAAGGGAAAGATGGCTGTGGTACAACAGGAGACGGATGGACAGAGGACAACCCACCCATGAGCGGATACTTGGGGGCAGCTCTGGCTGGGGTCTGCATGTCAGGGGCAAGTGGTGGTACTTATTGTTACCGCCTTCCACCCACCACTCCGAGCTCATTTGGCCTAACACCACTTCTCCTGGATCAAACAGCTGATGCTCCTCATCGTTATCGGTTCCATACTCTATGTCAATCTCTGTTGAGGATCCAGTGGGTGACTTCACACGTTGTACGGTCTTGCTAAGTAAATATGGTCCCTGCACTGTTCCTGAAGTCATCTGGCTACGTAGCAAGGCCTCTCTCCTGAGTCGGTCGCCATGGCCTTTGTGCGATTTGCGGTGTGCAGCCACACTTACAGAACTAGGCCCAGCATACAGGCTACTGTCAGAGTCCAACTCCACCTCCTCCTCATCCAGATAGCTGATGGTGTCCACCGTGTCAGCGTAATGTACTCTGGGTCTAGTCCTGACTGGCGCAGTCCCTTTGTACCTCACTACGGGCGAATCGGATTCCATTTTATGTCCATGATTGTGATGGTGGGGGGAATGTCGGCGACTCTCATGTCCACACTGATGGCCCTTGCCAGAAGCAATCCGGCCTGGGGAAGGTCTGGTGTGGGGTTCCGATTCAGTATTGTCTTCATCTTTGGTGACTTCTGGGATGCTGAAGAGCTGTTTGTTGTGGTAGGCTTGAGGGGGGAGCTTTATAATCCTCTCTAAAATTTCTTCATCGCTGTCAGTTTCCCACATTTCAGACTGGGGTTGTTTTAGAGGAGCATTGGGAGTTACCAGAGTAGGAAAGGAGCATGGTGATAGATCGAGAACATACAGACGAGGCAAAGGTTTTGTTCGGTGTCAAAAGTCGAAAGTAGAACAAAATGAGAAAAAGAAACAAGAAAATTAAAATGCAACAGAGGAAATATAAGAACAGAAAGAACCTAAATGACAAGTATGGCTAACACTGTGTCCCAACAAGTTTCCACTTGTCAATTAGAACATATTGGATGTTTAACATACAGTTATATTGATCAGGATTTTGAATCAGTGACATTTCACTGTGAGCATGATTACCCGGTGCAATACCAACAAAATGTCCTGACACCTGCCACATTGCAGTAGGACTCAACATATTGTCCAAAGGTTCACTGAGGAATACTACAGCATTCATGTGCATGTACATACCCTGCCTGTAGGAGCTGTACTGTAACCTCTGGAGGAGACGTCAGCGATAGGCTCAGAGAGCAGATCTTCCTCCTCTTCCTCCAGTATATCAGACAAATCAGACCGACTGCTCTCCCCGTGGTAGTCTGGGGGAGGGTCCATAAGACCACCAGCATAGACCTGATAGCGTTCCACAAAAACAACTTCAATGCAGTTTTCTGGAACACTAGGACAGGGGTGTCCAATGTTGCTCATAAAGGGCTACCTTTCAGTTGCAACTTGCCCCAACACACATGTCTGGAAATTTCTAGAAATTCCAAAGACCTGGATTAGCTGGTTCAAGTGTTTAATTGGGGTTGGAGCTAAACTTTGTAAAAGAGTGGCCCTCCAGGAGCAGGACTGGGCACCCCTGCTCTAGGAAAACACATATGGCGCTTTTCCACTGCGTGGTACGACTCGGCTCGGTACGGCTCGGCATGGCACAGCACGGCTCGCGTTTCCGCTGCAGTTTAGTATTGCTTTAGAGTGGGCGGGATTATTCACATGTCGTTATAGTTGCGCCGCCTCTACTGCCGCGACTCCTGAAAAACATTTTTATTCCGCGTCGCCCCATCAAACTCTCGCTGGATCCGCTCCTCTGCTATCAACGAGAGGAATATCTGTACTTCCTCAACAGACAACGAAACAACCACAGTGACCCTTACAAAGCCGTACCGTGCCGTACCATGCAGTGGAAAAGCGCCAATAGTGTTTCATTTAAGTCTCTCTGCTGGAATAAATTAGTATATTAAGGTAAGAAGATTATCTCTGAGGGCATTGGTAAGATACTCAACATGAGCACAGTCCAAAATTATAATGAATGAATAGGGACACACATGTCTCCAGATTTGGTTTGGAAACTGACCTTTATTCGAGGTTGAGGTACAGGCCGCAGGAACTCCTCTATGGACACAAGTCTGGTGTTTTCCCTGTCCTCCTCGGGCTCTGACTCAAAAGGTGACGGATTGGGAGGCCTCAGTGGGTGCGTATCTGGAACATCGAGAGGGTCCTTTCCTGGGATGTTGACTTTTGGGGAGGTGGAACTGGGTGGTGGTGTGTGAAGTTTGGCACAGGGGTCCTCCAAGAAGTCGGAGAGGGAGGCAACAGGACGCTGGCTTCCTGGGCTGTCTGTCTCTCTGCCTGGGTTCTGCACAGCAGGAGCCACACTGGATTGCACTGGCACTGATGCAGGTACAACAACAGGTGCAGGTATGGGTGCAGACATGGGCACTGGCATGGCGGCAGGTGCCACAGGACCTGGCACTGTAATGGACACTGGCGTGGGCATGGGTAACGGTGTGGTCAAGGGAGCAGGTACGGCCATGGACGTTGGTGTAGCAACAGGAACAGGCATGACCATGGGTGCAGATACACTCACCTGTTGATGGAGATGCTTTATTAGCTTAACCCTAAACAGAACCATACATCCCAGATCTCTGCACACAGACAATGTATCTCACCTCAAGTAAAACCAATTCTACATTATATTGTAAATGAGCATAGGCTGAAGCAGTGTCTAAAGCTTAGAGCAGAAGGTTACTGGTCTTAGGCCAAAATTGAAACATCTGCACTTTAGAGGAAAGTTCTGTGTGTTTTCTAAAGAATAAAATTAATTGGGAGAGTTATATTATATGTTTTATGAAGACATACAATAATTTTGTCTGAGGAACAGATCAAAATGTAACATCCCCTGCAGTTCTAAATTCTCTTTTGTTGTTTGAGTATTTTTAAATATGGCACAAGGAGATGCTCCAGGGTTACAAGTAGAGGGCCATTATGCAACATTACTGTTTGCCTTCAGAAATTTCTGAACAAAGTGATCTAGTCATACAGTACACTGTTATAATACTTTTATGGTGCTCTTTTTCATTTATGGATCTTGATAGCATAAATCCCCATTCATTTTCACTATATGGAAAAGAGCAGCACGGACATTCTGCTAAACATCTCCTTTTGCATTCCACAGAATAAAAGAAAATTGGAACAACACGTGGGTAAACGATGACAACATTTTAACCTTTGGCTCTAAAAGTATATGCTAAATGATTACTTCTTACTTACACATACAGTAGTGACTAAAACTGTAGACAAGTAGATTTTTTGTTAAACTCACCGTAGAGTTAGCACGTGAGGAATATAGTGGCAGTGCCTCCTGTGCTGGCATGGCAACCGTCAGAGGTGCAGCTGATGTTGGGTTTGCCCAGGCTTCTACATAAGATGCAGGAGAGGAAGGGGCCTCACGAGCGACTGCATTGGGTGTATTGACGTAGACTCCCCGAACAGGACCAGTGGTGTGTTCGTCCAGTGTAGCAGCGTGTGGCAGAATGGGCGTTTTGGCAGCAGAGAGAGATGTGGCACAGACAGCAGGATCTGGGTTGGCACTGGCGGTGGCTGGCACAGACTGGCATTGAGGCAATGAGACACCGGACATGATGGCAGGCAATTTGGAGGGCACATTCACCGGCAATGAGTCCACCGACTCACCAAAAGCTGACATGGTCCGTACGGTGAGCTCATGAGCCGCCTGTAATGTCTGGATCTGAGATGGACCAATCAGAGCGCTGCCTGCTGTGGGTGACGACACCTCTAATACCTGAGGACAGAGATGAAAGTGTTTTACACACTTATTGTATGAATTGTAATATAAAAATATAAAGTGGACTTTTCAGAAGAATTCTTTGGTTCACCTTCTTCTTGTCAGCGTAGATAGTGTAGCCAGTGACTCGTACACCATTGGACGTTCCAGCAGCATCTATAGTAACGGGCAGCCAGCTGATCTGAGCTATTCCCGGAGATGGGCCCTGCTCCAACTGCACATCCAGAGGAGCATCAGGAGGACCTGGAAGACAAGGGAAAGGGTCAAATGTCAAACCAAAGGATGTTGAAGTTAAAATTAAATCAAAATGGACTCTTTTAATACATGTTCCTGGTCTTGTTGTGAACATCATCAGTGAATCTTTGCATCTCACCTGCAGTCAGGGTTGTGAAAGAGGTCACTGCAGTTTTGCGTTCTCGGCACTCCGGCATTAGTTCCCAGGCAGTGCGGTGCGGCCTAGCCTCCACTTTAATGTTGTAATGCATGTTGGGTGTGAGGTTACTGAGGCACAGTGAATAGCATCCTGCCTTTACCAGCTCGCACTCCTCATCGTTTAAAGACACAATGTGCACATAGTTACTGTTGCTAGGCAGCCAGGTGAGACTGGCTGAGGTAGCCGTGATGCGTTCAACGTGCAGGTGAGTCGGTGCTACGCACACGTCCCGTCCGACTAGTATACTGCAACGTAGTTGATCAGAGTTGCCACGCTCCGTCAGGCACTGCACCGCAATCCGATATGCCTTCTGTGCCAAATCCAGCCTCTCCAGAACGGCCTTCGTTTGGGTACCAAATGGCACATTGAAACGCAACTCGTGGTCCACATAGACGTTATAGCTAAACACAGAACCCCAACCGGCCGGGACAAGCGGAGACTCCCAGCCAATGATGATACTCATGGCTAACTGCTTGATTAGCGTTAGCTTGCGGGGGTAAGGCACAGTGTCCACCCCTACCTCCTCTAGATCTAAGTCCAAGCCGTTAGTGAGCGGGGCAGCCAAGGCAGGGTTCGAGGGGTTAGCTTTGGCATTGTCACCAGGAGCCGAGGCTGTTGTGGAGGTCTCCGTCCTCTCGGAGGCGCTGTGGGCGAAACGTAAGTGGTGTTGGTGCAGCCGCTCGCTGCCGCTGTGGAAGCTGCTCTCCTGGAAGGAATTATGGGACATATCGCTAGCCTGGTGAGGGTGCGAGCTCATGAAGTCGTCGTCTGACATGCGCTCCACAAAGTTAGAAGGAACGAGGCCTCTTCTGCCGTCCATCAGCTCGCCTACAGAGGGTGACAGAAAGATGGTGTAACACATTAGTGCTGGTTGTAGGTAGTGTTGTTGAAGGATATTTATTACACTGCTCTGTGGAATACTTGATTCTGATTGGTCAGTCGCGACATTCCGAGGTATGTTATCCCTCGATAACAACCGGTAAAAGCTGATAACACAGGCTCATCTGGGTAACTGAAGTTGGCACTATACTCTTGCTAGGAAAATGTTTTCTTGGTGGAAGCTTTGCGTTTGTTTAGCTAATAAAATATTAAAACTCGATTCAAAATGGTGTACAATTATTTAATTATGTCATCCTGGTATCGCGGACTCGCTCTCTCGTTTCATACAAACGCAGCTGCTGCCATTTTGCGACGATTGTTTTGTACACTGTAATGGATTATAAGATAACTAAAGCCGGGCTCACACTGTGCGATTTTTTACAAGTCCTTTAGAATTGTACTTGTCAGACTGTACGAACATGATGATCATGTCACACTGTGGGATCTCA